GAAAACTTTTCGAAAACAGTCACTGTACTCCTTTTGTGGAATCGCATTTAAAACTGCGGTACATTCCCTTTGGATGTCTTGGATGGTGTCGTGACGGTCTCCTTTCATCGCCAACTTAACTTTTGGGAACGACCAGAAATCTACTGGAGCCAAATCTGGCGAATACGGATGATGATCAAGGACTGTGATCCCTTTTCTGGCCAAAACATCGCGCACGATCTTCGACTTGTGGGGTCGGGCAGTGTCGTGGAGGAGCGACCAGTAAACTTGCTCTCGATATTCAGGTCGAATTCGAAGAATTCTCGCCCACAAACGATTGGGTACTGCGGTAAATAATCATAATTCACTGTTTGACCTCCTGGCAGAAATTCCTTGTGAATGATTCCTTTGGAATCGAAGAAAATGGTTAGCAGTGTCTTTACTCGACTCTTTTGCATGCGCACTTTCTTTGGTTTCGGCTTATTTGGGCTCAATCACGCTGCACTCTGCCGCTTTGTGAGAGGCTCATATTGAAAATACCATGCCTCGTCACCAGTAACAATCGATTTTGTAAATTTTGCATCACTTTGGCCCGACCGTAACATGTCTTTGCAGTGTTCCACTACAGGGCACAATTAAAAAATTGTGTCCTAAGAGATCCTGGACACACCGTGTATATCGCATCACTAACATAATCTCGGGTATAACCAAAAGATTAAACACGGATAATGCAATAAATCTATATTCAATCAATTCTCTCAATATGCACCTTAATAGATTCTAAAGGGTTCTGACGATGGTGGATGACACTGGGCTTTTGAACTATTTTCCATCGTCCGGAATTCTAGGTAATAGGGGACACTCTATGTAACAGGACTCGACGTTTCGGAAATTGGATTTATTTCCGTCTTCGGGTGAGAAAGGAAGACACTCAGTTTGACCCTTTAGACAGAGATTGAGGTTAGCTCTAGAGTGTCCTCTATTACCTAGAATTCAGGAAGATGGAAAAAGCCCAAAAACCCTGTAATTCTGTGTGCATCTTGATGTTATCTTTAAATTTCGTTCTGGAGTTTGCAAGCGTCGGATTTACCAAGACGTTTCCCAACAAATGCCTTTCATTCCTTCCCTTCAGTCCTAGTCACGTGTCCAGCAAATCGGATATTATTTTAATTGTCTATCCAGTTAGCTCAATCCGATCTTGCGTCATGTAAAAGCGTGTTAGTACATGCTAATAGTATTTACATGTGTACACCACTATCTGTACTGCATAATGCGATGCGGCCAGGACTGAAAGACCGCTACAGTTTTACTGGCCCATAACACAGAACCTTTTGGCAATAATTCTTACTAAAACTAGTATAAAATTTGGAGCAAGTTTCAGACGCACTCACTGTTGCTTTTATTTTTATTTCTGGAAATAATTTCGTAATTCTTACTTCTATTACTTTTCATATATATATATATGTATCCTAAGACAGAAGTGGGAATTCAGTGGAGAATTCCAGTCGTTCGTTAGAGAAATTTTGTTAGTATAACTTCCCATGTTGTCTCTCGTATCTTTTTCCAGTTCTACATG